ACTCTTTCTCTCTCTAGACCATCATCATCAATCACATTTTTATCCCTTTTCTGGGTCTTGTTGTCAAAGGAGAATGCTCAACGCCCAAAGCCGAATTCTTCGATACAAATAAAAACCCATTACAGAAAAAGGCCTCACTTTGATGAGATATTTCTGGGTTTTAAAGAAGTCCTTCAATGGCGGACAGTTTTGACTGTGTGAACTCAAACCTTCTTCTCTGCGAAGAGAACACCAATACTTGCTTTGATGATCTTGGCTGTAACGTCGCCGCCGATGAGTTTGGTCTATTATTATCATCATCATCTTCTTTACTATTCCAACAGAAGAACAAAAATCAAATCATCCATGACAATAGATCCGAGTCTTTGACGCGTTTGCCATTGCAGAGTGAGGAGAGAATCCGTACAATGGTTCAGAGAGAGAGTGAGCATTTGCCCAGAGACGATTTTCTCCGGAGACTGCGCACTGGGGACTTGGACTTGAGCGTTAGGAGAGAAGCTCTTGATTGGATTTTGAAGGTTTTCTCTTTCCATTTACTTCTCTATCACAAATGGGATTTTTTTTTCACTTGTTCTTTTCAATTATTTACAATCAAAAGTTGCACATTTCTGATGCAATTCATGTTTCTTCAACTGGGGGGTTTTTTTTTTCATTGGATATATCTGAATTCTTAAATCGAAATGTCTAAATTGTTAGTAGATTAATCCCAAATTGTATTGGATTTTCCCCAAACTGGATTTTAATCAAAGCTAATGTTGTGATTATTGAATTGGTTCATTTCCTGAACAGGCTCATTCTCATTACAGTTTTGGACCCATATGTATTTGTCTAGCTACAAACTACTTGGACCGCTTCCTTTCTGTCTATGAATTGCCTGTAAGTGGACAGTATTAAAGAATTAGATTTTATTCTCTAATGTCATTGGATTTCTGGGTTTTGGGTTGTTTTCTCTTTTGGCTGTTTCATTGTGTTCTTGATATTCTGTTTCATTTTGTACTTGGTGATTCAGAGAGGTAAAGCTTGGACTGTGCAGTTGTTAGCTGTAGCTTGTTTATCACTAGCAGCTAAAATGGATGAGACTAAAGTGCCTCAGTCTGTGGATTTACAGGTACCAGAAAGAAATCTCAGAATTTTAGTTTTACATTAGTGGAAATAGTCACATAGCAATGTGATATTGTCTCTTATTTAGTTTCTGTTCTGATATGTGGTGATATGTTATGATCTGGTAGGTTGGAGATCCCAAGTTTTTGTTTGAAGCTAAAACCATACAAAGAATGGAGCTTTTGGTGTTGAGCACACTGAAATGGAGAATGCAAGCATTTACTCCTTTCTCATTCATTGACCACTTCCTCAGCAGGATCATCACTGATGATCGGCTTCTTCCATCAATGTCATCCATCTGCCGACCGGCACAACTCATCTCGGGCACAATCAGAGGTCTTTTTCCTTGACTGTCTTTCCCTTTGTGTTTGTCTGTAATCTGTTATGTGGTTTTGTTTTTTGTTGTGTTTGTTTCTTTAGGATTAATGGAGTCTCATAGCAGTGCTTTGGTGGGAATTTAATGCAGGAATTGACTTCTTGGAATTCAGACCCTCTGAGATCGCTGCTGCGGTGGCAATTTCTGTTTCAGGAGAAATAAAAGCAGTAGTGGACATAGATAGGGCCATCTCTTCTTTCATACACGTAGAAAAGGTAAAAAAAAAAAAGAATGGTGGCCCACAGAGTCGTGAAAAAAAATAAAGAACACAAAAAAAGATTTCATGGGTTGATTTGAGTAAGTTTGTAGGTTACTTCTATGGTATAGTCGGAACACTTACTATAGCATATGTCTTTGATGGATCAAATCGCATCAGACAGTTCAAAAACATTCACTACCAGTAGTGTGTATATATATATGGGGAATTTTACTGTTGGGCACCACACTGTTAGGGTCATTAATCCAACTGTACGCTACTTATGAAGTGAGTATAACGGTGTTGCCTAAGGAACCCTCTTATAAGATCCAACCACATACAAAAGCACTGTCTGATTTAAATCATATGATTTCGACCAATTGCCTTGTGAGGTCTTACAGCACCACTTGTGTATATATCTTATCATATAGTGGAATGTTGATGTTATACCATTTTTTATTTAATGAGATGGTAAAAGAATTTGCTTGTGTTGGTGGGTATATTTTGCAGGGGAGAGTTTTGAAGTGTCTTGAACTGATCAAAGATTTGGCATTGATCAGTAGGTGCACCACCAATGGGGGAGGCGGTTCAGGGTCAGGCACAGGCTTAGGCTCAGCCCCATTATCATCATCAGTTCCCCAAAGCCCAGTTGGGGTGTTGGATGCTGCATGCTTGAGCTATAAAAGTGATGAATTGACAGTTGGGTCATGTGCAAACTCTTCAATTTCACACACTAGTCCAGACAACAAAAGGAGGAAACCAGATGGGGTTATCTGAGGTGGGAGGATTTCTAGTCATGAGATGTGAATTTTTCTCCTTCACACCTGAGAGTCCCAAGCAGTTTGGTTGAATGGGATTTTTGGTGTGGTTTTATTTATTTATTTCTTTTTTGGGTGGGGAGTTCCAATTTATAGAGTACTTCAAAAGGAGAGAGAAATGCAGAGAGAGAGAGGATGGGAGTGGATGAAGGTTCCTTTTTTTTCCCCCTTTTTTTTTTTTTTTTTTTTTTTAACAACAGAATAAATGTGGTGGAAGCATCATCAAGAGGGCTTTTCATGCTTGAAGCATGAAATGGAAAAATCCCCAGCCTTTTGACATAAACAAGAATTCCTCAGCAACCATGGAAGGGATGTTTGAAGGAGTGATTGGAGTGGTGATATTGGTATTTGCCATTTGGTGGTAGAAGACTAGAAGTGAAGGAAAATATAAGATAAATGTCTTTTCATTTTTTTGGTGCCTAGACATACACTGCCTTTTTGTTGCAGCTACCATTTTAATGAGAGAAAAAAACGTGAAAGTGAAAAAAACTATATATACAGATGAAAATATTCTCAAAGTTTTGTTTTGTGATTCTTTCATCTTTTTTATCCCTACTACTCGGATCAATACAAAATAATCATTTTCAGCTGAAGATGCTTAACAAGGCACTTGTTTGATTTGATATGCTCATATGCTTGATTTAGAAGTGCCAAGATAACTTGGAGTTATTCTTTTGTTTCTTTGGCAAGAAACGACATAGTTGGATTATCTTATTGTATTAGTAGCTAAAATTTTCATTAAAATTTTAGTTACTTAAAACGTCATTATTATGTTTGAGTTGGTCGGGCTGCTGCCTGCAGTTAAGTAGTAGTTTGTGTCTACATAGTTTTGGGGATTGGAAACGGCCACAATGGGGCCCACTGGCCCTAAAAGCAGGCCCACAACGATATTGGATTTGGTTCTGTCTGTAATTACTACTGATGATGTAAATTGGAAAGAAACAGTCCCAATGCGTGAGAAACTTTGGAAATGAACAATCTGCAAGAGAAACTATATTCAAATAAGGATAATATTCAATTTTATAACTTGCATTTTGATTTATACAAAAAGTCCTATATTTAGGATGTTTTCAAGATTATATCTTTAAATTTTAACTTCATATCAACTCCATATCTTTTTGTGGGTCAACAATTGATTTTGACTTTTGAATTGACAAATTTAATTTTTGTGGCTTGTGGATGATCTTGTAACAAAAATTGAATTATATGTAATGCTTAAAAACAGAAAAATTACATAAACTTTATTTGAACTAAGTTGAAAAGGGTAATATGGCACTTAATATTTCATTACAAGTTTACTTAAAACCTAGAAAGGGTAACTTTGTAGATTCAAATGTCAAAATTAGTTATTGACATGGAAAAAGTATAGATTTGTAATAGTTTTGAAATTCAGGGGATAGTTTCAAGAACATTCAAGATAGTCACTTTTTTAATCGTCATAACAATTGCTATGTAATTTTGTAGTATATAATAAAAATCACATTCTATAATTGATGACCATACATATGATGATTTTAATTTTGAGTGGTTTTATAGATTCTGAATGTATTGCGCCTTTTTAACTTATCAATGGGTGAGGTTAAGTGAATGATCAATAACTCATCATCTTTGATATACATTTTTATAAGTAGCTGAGAACATGTATCATAAATATGGAATCTACTTCTTAATAGAAGAATAATAATATTTATAATATCAAAATAATATAACGAAAAGAAAAGAAACTGTGAGGAGCTTTCTCTTTTATTTCTCTTTTTCTCTCTCCATTCTATCTTAGGGTTTCAAGGGGTAAAGTAGAAGCGACCTCAAAGTTCAGGGAGCGACTCTAAAGTTCAAGAGGCAAACTGGGGTGACTTCAAAGTTCAGGAGACATAGGTGCAAATCACTAAAAATTTAATTACGATTTTACCCTCAAATACTATGCACGTGAGTGTACGTGAGACGTTTTCCGTCTCTTTTAAACGGAAATTGGGACAGAAAAGGTAAAGTGAAAGTTCATGAAAATTTAGGTAGTAAAGTGAAGATTTTTAAAATTCAAGAGCAAAATAAGAGTAATCCTAAAGTGCAGGAGACATTCATGATAATAATTCTTAGTTTTTGCCCCTCACTCAATCTCTCTTAACACATATGCACACAAAAAGAAAAAAAAAAAAACTGATTATTTATGAATATGGTAATCTCAATCAACAATACATATTCAGGACGATGCACTGACAAAGCAGAAAAGGTAACAGATAAGGTGGCAACTTGACTGGTTAGTATAATTATAAAAAAAAAAAAAAAAAAAAAAAAAAAACCCTTGACTGGTTTGTAACAGCTAAGCATGGTCAAATCTGTATTCTAAAAGATCAAACAATTTTAATTACTGACTGTAAGTTTATGTTCTGTACTATTGAAGGATTCCAACCAGCATACCCCATCAATATAATTGCAGTGCATATGAGACGAACCAAAATAAGTAGTACCCCTAGAAAGAGGGATTCAATTCTACTGTACTCTTGTTCCCGTGTTCTCTACTTCTTTTTCTTAAAAAAAAAAAAAAAAATCAATAAATCTATTAGACCCGAAGATCGTGTTAAAAAAATCATAATTGCATTAATTATTTAATTGATACATTGATTTAAATGAGTTATGTAATTGATACCATTAATAAACCAGTTGTATTTGAGTTTACACTTTTAATATTTTAATGAATAAGTCGTATTTAAATTGATATATGTCGATATGATTAATAAATTAGTTTACACACAACTCATTTAAACGAATTTCTATCCTTAAGCTTTTTCCTAACATCGTATTAAGAAATACAATAATTTATAAAATTTTATATTAAAACTTATAAATTCAAACGATCAACCGTACAAAAAGAATCCATATATGAGGCCAACTTAGAGATAAGACAATCGTCCTCTATATATATATATATTTCAATTAACCTTTAAAAATACCCCAATCCCCACTCACCCATAAAGCCATATTGACCATGTCAGTTTGAACGCCATGTTCACCAAGATCAAGTCATTCTTAAATATATATTTTTTCTGTGCTTCTGTTTCTTCTCGTTGTGTGTATAATATGTATGTGGGGACAAAGTGTCGCATAAGGTTACGTTTAGTATAAGAGTTAAATTAATGTGATTTTAGTTTTGAAATTAGAATTAGAATTTATAATTTAAATATGGGATCCAAATTATAATTCTGAAATTAATATCAAAATCAGATGTTTAAATCATTTAAAATCAAAAGGAATGTAGTTTTATTTTTTGAGTGGTTCTAATATAAAATATCACATCATAATTCAAATTTTAAACCAAAATCATTCATATCAAAAACTGGTTTTTAAGAATTATTATTTTTATTTTTTATAAACAAATAAAAATTTAAACTAAAATCATAGGTCTGGTTTTAAAACTATCATACCAAACGTAACCTAAATCAAAACCGGCTTTGGGTTGGTAGAGTTTTTGGCCCCGTTCTTTTCGTTGATTTGAGTTTTGCTACAGTAAAAAGCTCTCAGAAACAGTCCATCTAACTTTTTTGCTACAGTAAAAAGCTCTCATACAACATCACATCTTAACTCGAATTAAAAACTTGAATTAGCGAACTGAACGGGCTAGCAGCTCTGACTCTCAGTGACCAGTATAGTATAACACAGAATTTCAAGTTCTTCTCTCTCTCCTAGTACATAAACAAAAGTATATTATTGAGTTCTTTTTTAAAATTTTTTTTTTTTTTTTTTATGGTTTGTATGTTTGGCTCCATGGGTTTGGTTTTACCGAGAAATTGAATGGTTTGAGGGGAGTTAAATGGTTAGGACTTGGGACCCAAACACGCAGCAGAAGAGCTACTCGAGAGTCGAGACCCAAGGCAAAGAGAGAACTTTTCTGAGAGTGCGTGGTGGAAACTGTAGGAAAGTGGGATATGGGTTAAAGTTTCAGAATCTCAGAAATGTCTCTACTAAAATAATAATATTATGCAGTCTTTGGACGGTGAAGGACACTTTCTATGTGGTGATTAAAATTTAATTGTTGCTCAGAAGTGATAATAATATTATGAAGAATTATGTTTGTGCAAATACTATCGTTTATAATAACTTAAAGAGTTATTTAACTAATCAATTAATAGTTGCACTATGCTACAGCAGAAATCCCCTAATATGAAAAAGCTTGCTGACGCTGTTATGACAATTTAGGAATGTTAAAAAATAAAAAAATTAAGGGGGAAAAAAAAGTAGAACGGAATGAGCTGACTGAAACTGCTCGAAGGAGTTGGCACCCCATCAACACCAAATCGATTCGGTCCATTAACTAAACCCGGCATTGTTGGTTGGTTCACTTGTTTATTTTTAAGTTGGTTTGTAATAAAGGTGAAAGTTCGAGTTGTTAAACACCACCTGGGCCCCACACTCTAAATGGGAACTTCGGCTCAGCCCACATATTTATACTTTTTAGACTAGAAACTAGTCAAATGATTGAGTTTTCTAAAAAGTATATTTTTAAGTCTCGTTTATTTTACCATTTGAATTTAAAATTTAAGTTTTATTACAGTAAAAAACTTTAAAAAATAATCATATCTAACTTTTTTACTACAGTAAAAAACTCTCACATAAAGTCACATCTCAACTCGAATTAAAAACTCGAATCAGCGAACTAAATGAGCCCTCGTTCTTTTCGCTGATTCGAGTTTAGAATTCAAGTTTCGCTACAGTAAAAAGCTCTCAGAAACAGTCACATCTAACTTTTTTGCTACAGTAAAAAACTTTCACACAACATTACATCTCAACTCGAATTAAAAACTCAAATTAACGAACCAAACGGGTTAAATACTTAAAAAGATAGAATGCCGGACTAGTCCAAAAAGTCCTCTTATATGGTCTGTAGTGAAAAGCACAGGAGACAATACTGACGTATAAAGAATATGATCGATAGAAGCTGAAATACTATTCTAGTATTCCAAAATCCTCAGATTCTATTCCCTAATAATATGTTTTTCCTACAGAAATAATTCTTTTTCGTTTTGTACGTGAGAAAATCTCTAGATTAGGTAGAACTCATCACAAAACAAAACAGAAAAAAGTTGTAATTAATTTTATCAATGCAACAAAAAATTGAAAAGTACAAAATATGAACCAAGCACGTCCGCTTGGTGTATTCTCTGGACTTTTATGTGAAGCGTCAAAATAATTTATGGAATTTGAGTAATGCTATACATTTGATAAATTATTAAATGCAGAGCCCTCTAATAATATTTCTTCCCCGGTTGCTATCTCCTATAAACTACTCGTATTGGAGAGCTTATTTTTCCTCGTCTACACCACAAAAATTGGCCTATATATTATTTCTCATACCACAAAAAAAATGGCTATTCAAAGTCAGGCTGGCCTGTAGAGGTCAAACAACGATGCCACATTCGACTGTTACGATCTACCAGCCTCGGATAAGAAATGACTTCGGGAATGGGAAGGTAGACATAGTGGGTATTGCATATCCCCACAGTGGTGCCACTATATCCGGCGAAAGCGCCATGAACCTAAAAAACAAAAGCCACGAATTCATATTGGTCGATCTAAAAGATCAATGTGGATATTACACCGATGTGAGATGCTTACTGATCACCAGTAAGAACTACGAAGAGACAGTGAGACTCACGGCATTTTGTCCTAAAACAGTGCATAAAATCCCATCTGATGCATTTGCACGGCATGCACGGATCATGTACGTCGGATCAATAAACTTCACATCAGCTGGAATGCCAATTTCCCTAAAGTACTTCTTTGTCTAATGGAAGAAAATTTAATGGATGTCATTTCCATAGTAGATGCAAAAGAAAGTACACCCATTAAGTCAAGATGAAAAAGAAAATGTAAAGCAGTACTAAATGACACTAACTTCATTTTGGGACGAATACAAAATAGGGGGAAACGAGCCCAGCCCATTATCACTTCTGCAAAAAAATAGGTTTTCCATCTCTTTTATTCAAGTAAGACTACTTGTGCAAATTAAATAAGCATCACAAAATCTATCCTATTCTTGGCCAGTGATGATTTGTGATCATTACCTAGAGGCAGCAGGCAAACTACTGATCGATGTAGTTTGATATGGGCATCAATATGTAATAGAGGCTTTTGCATCAGTATGTAATAGAAGCTTTTTTATCCTGATATGGGCATCAATATGTTTTATAGAAAATACTAATGGCATGTATACTTACCATGATTGAGGAATGAGTGGGGAATGGGAGTCAATCTCATGTTTACTTGTTTTTTTTTATCCTGGAATGAGAGTGGAATTGGTAGGCCCCACTCAAATTTGAGATTGAGGAATGGGATTGGCACTCCCATGCCCCCTTCAGGATTGGGACTCACATTCCTGATATTAACATTCAATTACTATCATACCCTTATGTTACTTACAAATATAAAATTAAAAGTAAAATCCAAAAAATAATGATTACAACCTATATTTACTATTTTATTTGCCTAATATTGTAATATTAGCATAATTATTGTTAACTTTAATATAATAAATATGTACTTTATTTTGTTTCATAAATTAATACTATATTTTAATTTTAACGCTATTTTTTAGTTTATATATTTTATTTAAATTTTGGCGATTTATTTTTATATTTTAAATAATTGTACAATTTATATTTATTATATTACTCTATTATTATACTAAATATTTTTAATAATGATTAATTTTAATAAAACAAGTACACAATTTATTTTTTAAATTAAAAATATATAATTGACTTAAAGGGTATATTAGTAAATTTACACTAGTTCATTCCGATTCTGGGTGTAAGTAAACACATGAATGGAATTTGGAGTGACTCCAATTCCAAATCCTGTCACCAAGTAAACAACTTATCTGACTCCGATTCCTCACTCTGAATCCTGCCCACTCCAATTCATGACCATTCCGATTACGTGTAGGTAAACATGCCATAAAAGGTTTAAAGCAAGATCATCTCCTTGTGAACAATAACTAAGCTATATGCTATATACATCAGCGATTAGGAAGATTTTAAGAGCGAAGAAAGTTTAAGCATTCTGTTATCATGTGTATCAATCAAAGAGCTCATAAAACCAAAATTTACCAACCTCTTGCTGAAGATACACACCAATATCTCCAAGAACAATATTTCCAGACGCATCAGTAGCATTGGTTTTCTTAAGAAAATTCTGCATATATAATAAGGAACATGCTGCACTTAGAATACTGGTCAGAAAGATAAACATCGATGTGTAATTTTGGTCAGATAATTGGATCTAAACTTATGGTTTCACAAAAATTGAGACTTTTTTTTGGGGGGGGGGGAGCTAAATCCTTAATATTTCTAAACTTTGAGGCCAAAAATTGTAGCAGTCCTGGTAAAATCAGAGTATGACATGGAGCAATTTTTGATTCTTGTAGAACCATGGTTTTAATTGTTTGCTGCCTACTATTTATTATGCCTGAAAACTGAGTAAGTGCGCAAAACCATATTAATATCTGTGCGGGCCTTACATGGGACATCCAATATATGCTTATGCCGTTCCTAACAGGATTAATGTTTAAAGTCTTTTCACACTTACCACCTCTGTCAAGCTTTTTTATGTGTAAATATTTTAATATTCGCTTTACAACTTCTAAAATTGGTAATTTATACGTTTTTAGAAGCTTTCTTGGTGTAGTTCTAGTCCCTCAACTTGTACACCGTCTGTTTTCTTCCTGCGTTACTTTCACTTTTTCTCCTTAAGAAAGGCTTTTTTAACCTATTAAAAAATGTTTATCAACGTACAAAATGACTTCACACTATGACTAACCTGCCCTGCACCCTCTGCTATACAGACCACTGCAGACCCCTTTGTCTCAATAAGGTATTTCAGATGCTGCAAAACTCCGTGGGGACCATGTAAATGGAACGGTACCTTTAAGTGCACATATTAACAGTGTCAATACTGGCTGTCAAAACTAAGAAACCAATTAATACAGCATAAGCATAACTACCTCTGGTATCAAACATATGTCTATTTGTCCACTAGCCAGGGATGCATGCATTGCTATGAATCCACTACTACGACCCATCAATTTAACAATTCCAATACCATGATAAGCGCTATGTGCCTGTTACAAATTTGAGAAGAAAGATCAGGTTATAATGCAAATTTAGAGCCCGTTTGGTTGGAGAATTCGTTCTCTGATTCGAATCATGGTTCATAGTTCGCTACAGTATTTTCTCTCACAAAAAATACAAGTAAATCGAAAATGGTTCTAATCCATGAACCAAACGGACTCTTAAGCACCAAGAAAGAGGAATAAACAAGGACTATACAGATAGCAGCTATGGTGAAAATTAAATGAGTGGTGTGAGTACAAATCAAAATACATTTGTACCTCAATATATGCTGAATTTATGGCACGTTGTGCTTCTTCAACAGCAGTATCAAAACCAAAAGTCTTGTCCATCAGCAAAATATCATTATCGATGGTTTTTGGGACTCCAACTACAGCCACCTTTAGGCGTCTTCTACGACACTAAAAGGAAAGGACCAAAGGTACGAAGTGAGACCTCAAACAGGGATGGCAGGCAAGGTAACAGGAAGATAAGGAGCAAGGATGCACAATAAGCAGCAATAAACTTAAAGGACTTGAACAATAGAAGATATTATAAGATTAATGTCTAGTGGTATGCGTGTTTAGATTGCAGTAAATTGATTATTAACTCCTATCAGAATTGATAAAGAACGTGAATGAATAATGCAGATGAATCCGGAATGAATACAGAGTGCATTAATGTCACTGGGAATTCATCTTTAGTTGTAATTCTTAATATACCAGCTACACCCGGAACTTCATGCAAATTGAATAAAATCAGTTTATATTACCCAGAAGGTTTCTATTTTGGGTGTTTCATCCTCAAAAATGCTCGTAACTATGAACCTATTCCACACTATGAAATATAAGACCCAGGAAACAAATTAACAAATGGGTGCACGCTTAACAACCTCATTGTGTATTGCATTTGCTCCAGCATGAGTGCCGTTCCCACCCAACACAAAAAGCATGTTGATTCCTCTTTCCTGATATCAATATGAATACACGCAACAAACACCTTTTGTTAGAAATCTCAATGCATCCTCAAACTTATTCTTTTCTCAAGGAAAATGACAGTTACACACCTCCATACTGTCCACAATTGCAGTTGTTTCAGGTCCTCCACGAGAAACTCCTAACAAGCTTCCACCAGAAAGATGAACGTTTTGAACTACTTTCCGTGTTAGCTAATGATCAAAGTTTCAATGGATAAGTTAAATTGGCAGCCAAAGAAGTTTTATGATTCTTTGTTTTATTCATTTAAATTAAAGACGTTTATACTCATTGAAAATGATGTACATTTGTGAGACATAAACTGGAACTTACTCGCATTTCAGCTAAGTCTTGCTCAGAAAATCCACGATAACCATAAGGAATCCCCACTATCTTTTTCACACCATATATTTCAAGCGTGATGACAATCTGCAAATGATACATGATTAACTATTATCAGCTCAAAAGAAATATTTGCTGAATTCGCACTCATGGTAAGACTTATCAGTTGACTTAACGAGGCTATAGCATACTTGAAGAGTCCCCAAACATTTCTTTTTAGGAAGAAATAAGACACTACACATAACAAAGAGTGTCCTGTGGGGGCATACATACAACCGCTCGGGCTTTATACTTTTGTCCTAACCATAACCCAATGCAGATACAATACTGCAAAACAACTCCAATGATCAAGGGGAAATCTAGGTTTTATCACATTTTACGCCATCCTTTAATGTTTACAGTAACAATCACAAAACTCTTTTATGGCTATTTTTACTAGCATAGAGATAAACGAGTTTTGAGATAAATGAAGACACTTCTACTTTTCAATCTCACGAGAAAAAGGACCAGTAAGTGCCTAGAATTTTATTAGGAATAGAATGTGCAAACAGCGAAGGCTTATTTTCAACGAAATAGAAAATCCTTCCATGTCTTCCAGCGTGTCAAAAGAATAAAATTAGAAAGAATAATTCAATTAGATAGCCTACAATAAACATATTTACAATTACTTTATGATGAAACTCACATGTCTGATGACATCATTAAGACCAGGACAGAGGCCCCCACATGTTACAATCGCTGCCTTTACTTCTTCTGGTTTGAAATATATTTTTTCTCGCGGCCCAGCACGGTGAACCCTGGAATGATTCAATACCACATCCGCCAATAAGTGAAGTAGTTGTCAAACAAATCCAGTATTACATGGAAAAGAACGGGCACAATCATATATTTGATTCAAATTTCAATCCATTTCAGACTCATCATAGCTTATATACTCCTTTTCCAACATAAAAATCCAGAGAATGCTAAAAGGACTCTCATCATATTGCCCTCAGGCTCTCACTCTTAAGAATTTTAGGATCACCAATATCAAAACCAATAAATACCCACCACTGTTCCACCCAAGTACAATTAGGATCAATACATTCAGCACCAGCTGACGTAGGGGACGAGAAGTGTATGGTCTGAAAGTTTCAACCAAAAAAAAAAAAATGCACATGAGGAATTGTATCCACAGTTTTTTTATAAGCATAACACCAAAATAAAATTTCTAAAAATATGAATTAAATCGAGTCCCAAAAAATCACCTTGAGAAGCACGCGATCATTGTTGTTAATATAGCCATGCCACTCCTCGTCCGATGGATATCCTCCAACAAACTCTTCAGTTATCGGTGTCCTGCAACGGAATATATATATATATAGACACACACACACACACACATACACACATTAAAGTTATGTACCATGAAGAGACCAAAAAGCTAAAAAGCAATACCAAGAGGAATTCCAACATTACAATCAGGAAAACAAGATAATGAAAAATCGAAACTGGGAAATTGTGGAGCAATCGAGAAACGAAGAAGAAGAATACCTCATCTTGAGGCAGAAAGTCGAAGGGATGGAAACGGCGTCAGGGAAAACGTCGGTGATGTGAGGGATGTTGAAGCGCCTCTCAAAGTCGGACTGGAATTTGGATTTCCAATCGGGATCGCCGAAATCAATGGGCGGGTCGTGGCTCTTGATCCCGGCGAAGACGCGGCGGCTCTTCGCGGCGGTTATGGTCGGCAAGGCGCGAGGTCTGGGGAGGCGACCGCCGTCGGAGACGCGAGGGAAGGAGAGTTTGGGAGCGATCGCCTGCGACAGAGTCGCCATGGAACGGAGATCACGAGGCAACAACGGAGAATAAGAAAGAAGAAAAGAAGAAGAAAGGAAGAATGTGAAGTGTTAGGAGAGAAAGTGTGCTGACTTTCCTTTTAAATTTTAATATTATGTGTAATAGCGACTGGCGAGGAGCTTTTTCAAAACTTTGGAGTTTGGACTTGTGTTGCAGTCCTGAATCTGTAGAAACTTTTTTTCTTGTTATTTGTCATTAAAAAATAGAGAGAGAGGAACAGGGGAAAAAAATTGTCACTTTTGGACTCGTTTCTTTCGTTCTTTTCTTCTTTCTTTCTTTTTTTTTTTTTTTTTTTTCCTTATACTAGTTTTAATCCTCTCCGTGTTGAAATTACTTAAATAGTTTATTATTTATTTAACATTTAAGTGAGGTAAAAATGTAAAAATAATTTTATTAAAATACATCTTTAAAATATAAGATTACCGAAAGAATGAGAAAAAACTTAAAGGTAATAAATGAGAAAAAATAGATTTTAAAAGCAAAAAAAAAAAAGAATAAAAAGAATAAAAATGAAACATATCGCTACATAAAAGGTAAAGATGAAGAGTTATTAGTACTTTTTATACAAGTACTGAACACTGACTCCCTGTATTTTATCAAAATTACAAAACCACCGTCTTAATCAAAACTAATCACGTCAACATTTCTTTTATTAAATTTACATGATAATTATAAAAAATACCTTTTTTTGACCTTTTTACTAAAAAACTATTTTAATATGGTAAAGAGAAAAGATATATTAGTAAAATACATCTTAAAATATAAGATTACAAAGAAAAAATGAGAAAAAAAATGTTATAAGATGATAAGTGGAAAAAAATTAAAAGAAAAAAATGCATAAGAGCGTTAAGTAAAAAGAACAAGAGAAAGAAAAACTAATAAACAAAAAGGGAAAAACAAAGAGAAAAAATAAAATAAAATAAAAACTAAAAAAAAGGATGTTTGAAAAGAAGGAGAGCTGTCATGTGACGAAAAAAGAATATATGATTAAAACGAGCTTTGTTTTTTTTTTTTGCGGTAAAGATTTTTTTTTTTTTTTTTTATGTATGTAAAGATTTTTTTTTAAACACATGTAAAAGATTTGGGAGTTTCTAATAGGAACAGAAAAATGAGCTATTAGTAGTTTCCTATTTTTAGTTGTTCGCCCGCAAGCGACAGTGTCAAGTTTTGATAGTAAAGGTGAGTGAGTATCGTCTCCACAGGGATTGAATGTTAGATTGCCACTAAATACCGTGATTATCGTAACTCAACGTTATTTAGGAATCCGAACTAATTAAAATTAGAATAGAATAAGAACAAATATAAATACGAAAATAAAATATGGAAACTCATATGCACTAATGTACTAGAGATTTGACTTCACCCTATCATTCTTATATTCATCTTATTTAGCTATTGGTAGCCAACTCTACTCAATTCATTAATCTTAGATTTTTAAAGATAATTTCACTCCCTCTCCCGAGTGCTGAGCTAAATAGTATGCAAAACCTAGTTAAGCAATATCCCTATTAGCCTAACCGAATCAAGCATCCATTAAGTAACCTAATTTTGATTACCCGAATTAATTGGCCTCCCGAGCTCAACTAAGTCTAGGTTGTGTTTTTCCAATTTCAACATGTGAAAGTAACTCTCTCAAGCCTAAATCCACACATCTATATCTCTAATTCATGAAAACACAAATTAGAGCAATTAACATGGAGAAGCAGAAATGAATTAAATGGAAATCGAAGTAACAATTAGCAAAATATTCAAAACATAGTTCAAACAAAGCTACATTAAGTCCTAGAATAATAATCTAGCTTAACATAGAGGAATCCATAACTAAAAACAAAATTTAAAAACTGAAAAGGAAATAAAGAGAGAAGGAAGAACTATGTTGTAAGAATGATTTTTTAAGCTTGAATCCACCATATTCTTCAAGAATCTTCAATGAAATCATGAGATTTGAGTAGGGCTGACAATCCGAGTAGCGACACGACGACATGATTTGAAATCCGCACAAAGTTGGCGGGTTTGGGTTTACTATAAATGAGTTTGGGTCATAATCGGGTTGATACGATTAACACGATTAATAAATGGGTTGGGTCAGGGTTAACCTCTTAACACGAATTGACACGATTAACTATATGTGTCATCTGCAATATAATGATATGTGATATAATATGAAAGTTTATATGACATATTAAATACAAATAATGTGAATTTTAATATTTGTAGGTAAAATTCACTTATTTTTCTTAAAGAAAAAGATAAATTAACCAATAAACATGTTAAACATGTCTTGATCGTGTTAAATAAGTCATTATTATATTAGTTATTTATTCAATATATTAATTTAAACGGGTTGATACGATTAACACGATTAATAAATAGGTCGTGTTTGGGTTGTCAGTTTTGACACATTTAATAAACAGGTCCTGTTTGGGTTGATGTTTTCTGACACGATTAATAAACGGGTTGACACAAACACGACCCACTAACATGAATTGCTACCCTTAGATTTGGGCCTCCAAAGTTTATTCTTCACTAGGGATTTGTACCTCTTTTCCTCTCTTCCTCTCTAATTTTAGAAAAATGAGTCTTCTCCCAGTTTAAATTGACAATATTTCGTGTCTGGGCACTGCAACAAATCAATTTCATGCTGCAAGGCCGCTAAGGTTTTCAAACAAACCTAGCAAAACTGGCGCAACCGATGCAGCGGGTGTATGGTTTTCCTACTCTCGGGCAAGAAATCCGTTGCAGTAGGTGTCTGACTTTGAGGAGGATTTTCTCCTTCTATATGGTCGAATTAGTGTTTGGTGTCTTCACAAAAGTTGTAGCTTTATCTCGTATCTTTTCAACGCCACTAAAATCACCTCATTTAGACTTTGGATGAGAAAGTTATAACGCAAATACTAAAGTATATTCTGCAGTCAAATTTTCACTTCTTTTATTCCATTTTAGCTTCAACCTACAAAAATAAAATAAAACACATTAAACTAATAAAAATGCTTGAAAACATACAAATACTCAACTTAAAAGTACTTGATTTGTGAATAAAAGATCCAACAGTCATAAAAAATTAATCATAAGAGATTACATATATTAATAAAAATTGACAACTCACTTACTACATTACTCTTTTAAAAATGACAATAATCTTTATACTTATAGGAAGGGTGTATCTCTATATTTTCGGAATATGTTTGTTATAGTTACAACGAGCGTGAGATCCGCGCATTGCTGCGGAATGCAGTGTTATATTATATGGTAGTTGTATTTAAAATATATTTATATATGTACATGTATTATATAGTATTGTATTACATGATAGATATAAAATTTGTACAAACATATTTATGCATACATATATAGCGTCATTATTTATAATATTTATATATATACAGAATGTATGGACTAAAAAAAAGGCAGTTGTAGTCCCTGAGCATTTCATTTTTTTTAGCTGCAAGCATAAAAATGAGGAAAACGGTTGTAAATATAAGTGTTAAGAGAAATAAAGGTGGTTAAATTATATAGTATGAAATAAGTATTATTAAAATATTTAAAGTACCTTGTTCTTGGGCGTTTTGTAGATTGTCTTGTTGTTCTTGATTCAGGACTGAAAGAATGGAATAATCTGTAGATATGTTTTTGAATAAATTGATAATCTTTGTTGTGTTGAATGTGATTTACCTTGTGCTAGGCTTTTTTGGTGTTAGAGTGTGTGGATCAAATGTGGCTGGTGTTGATAGCTGGGATGATGGTATAGCCGGTGGGCTGAAAAATGTGAAAATTTTTAAAATTGTGATTAATATAATATAAATGTTATTTATGTATAGTTGCTGGAGAATTTTAAAGATAATATTTACCTATGTGGTTCTTCTGTTCATGCAGTTAACTGTTTTGGTGGCGATGATGGAACATGGATGTCTTCAAATATTTTGGAAATTAATGTACTCATTTGGGTGTCTCGTTGTTGAAAGAAGATCTGGAAGATTTTGGATTGTCCTTGGATCTGATCGATAGCTGGCGGTATTATAAATGGATCGGTAAAGCCTTCGTCAATTGTTAGTGCAGAACATGGGTTTTTTTATTAATGCCTGAGCGGTTCTGCCAAAAGTGATGACTTCTATGTCTCCAGTATGATCTTCAATTTGAATTGTTAATCTGTACCTGTAACATATATACATATATATATTTTAATGTTTTTAATTTTTTATTAAAGCAAATAAAGATATATAATAAATAAAAATGGTCTGGTCATAAATTTATTTATCATGGAGACGGCGTTGACTTTATATGGCCATGACTGTCGCACCACCAACTTATTCTTGCTTGTTTTAATTGTCGGTAACATATGGGGCAAGAATTGTAGAACCATCCTTGAGACGTCGAAAAGTTTACTATTGTTGCTCTCACAGTGAATTTTTCACCCTGCATTAAAGATAGAATAATTTGGTTTTAAATTGTTTACTAAGTATAGTAAGAAAATGACAGGAAAGTTAATAGTACTAACCAGATTATTTTGTGCATCCAATGTTTTGAGTTCGTTTATTGTTCTTCTGTTTGCCGATATTTGTTCTTCAATTGTTTGGATAGGTGTTTTTGGGGGTGGTAGGAATTCAATTTGTTAATTTTGATGGGAAAATCTATACGTATAAAAATATGAATAAGGTCAGGAAAGTATAAATAAAATGTATGATTATTTAATATGATAAATTTATTAGAATATATTTTTTATACATGTGTGTTTACCTTGTATTTAATGTTATTGTTTCTGGGATATCTGGATCAATAGAGAAGATTGTAGCTGATGTACTCGAAACATATGAGTTACCTTGAAATATAACAGAGTAAATAATAAATGTATGCTATTTTATTGTATATGTGTATATAAAGAAGTTAAAATAAAGTAATGTTAAAAATACCTAGATACTGCTTTGTTAACATTGATGAGAAAACAGCCACAATTGGTGCCTTCAATATTTTAAGGACATTCTCATCAAACTGATCGTCTTTATGTCCCCATAGGCTTACCTGTAGTTGTTCATTTCTGTAGAAAAAAGGTTGTTTATAAAAATGAGTAATAAAATCGAACGATAAAAGTGAGAAAATATTGTATTCATGTTAAATAGTTGTAATGAATAGTAAATGTGAGGGAAAAG